TATACTTCTCATTGTCATTTTCAGAGTGCATTGATTTAAGCAGCTCCCACTGATCAAGCATACCACAACAGGCAGCTCAGCCTAATATGCTGATAGGTACAAAGTGGAGAAATCTTATTTCGATCAAAAACTGAGGAAAAAAATAACTGTAAGGTTGAACTGAACACTGGAGCAAGTTGCCCAGAGAGCTTCTGGCGATTACATTCCTGGAGATTTTCAAAACCTGACTGGAAAAGATCTTCAGCAACCTGCTCATAATTGACTCTCCTTTGAGCAGGGGAATTGTATCAGATGATCTCCAGCGGTCCTTTCCAACCTCATATGTTCTGTGATTCTGTGAAAATAAGATGGTTAATAATTGAATATCCTTCAAATTATTCTGTTTTGTACAAGAAGAAGCAAAGTTGCAAGGGTCCTGATGATGCAAAGGGCATACAGTCCAGAAAGGAATTTTGGGGATGTAAGACAATCTCCCTTTAAGTTTCTCACCAGTGAAGTATAACCCATGAGTGAATGTCCCAGCATGGGCAGGGGGTGGGAAGGGAGAGCTGGATGGGCAGAGCTGTGGGTCCATTTGGGATGTGCCTGCAGTTCATGAGCCCTACATTTATGAAACTCCGGTTTGTTTGGGTGTTTTAACCAACTTAGTTGTATCCATTTAAGGTCACACTTAAGGTCAAACTTGTGCCTTCAGTGAAATAAAGAATTTTAAATGGTTTATTTAAATTTAAAGCTTTCCATTATCACTTTATACAGCTGGCTTCAAAGCATATGGAATATAATTTCTAATGAGTTTTGGCTTTGCCAGTAGATACATGTTTCTTCCATTATCTTGTTTGTTTCTGTTTGGTATTTTGTACTTCATGAGTAATATTTGCAATTACTTTGCTACAATAGCATGTTAGTAACAGCAGCAGGAAGCCATACTTAGCTCAGCTGGAACATTTCGGCCTCTAGAGTTCTTGTTATTGCATTCAGAGTAAGAAATAACTGCCTGCTTATCTTTGTGGTATTCTGATTCTCATCTTCCTCTCATGTCTTTTTCTTGTTCAGTATTACTTTACTGGTTAGATTTAAGACAGATGGTAGGATTAGTAAATGCAAGTTGATTGTAACAGATACTGTCTGACATTGGTGTGTCTGTAACTAGGAAGGTGAAAACAATGGGGAGTAAATATTTTGGACAAGCTGAAAGAACTTGCTAAAATAATTTGTAATTGTCTTGCTTGTTAAATGGATAAACAAAGTGAAAATTATTTCCTTTTATTTATGCACATTTTTGAAGAGCCTCAGAATTGCTGTGATGGTGTATTGAGCTGTATTACTGCTCAGTGCTCACTGCTTTTTGTTGACCTATGTAGTTACTCATAACTCTCCTGTTGAGAATGTGGTACTGTGGTTGTGGGACCGGAGATCTGCACTTGCTTTTCACCTTTACAACTGGTCTGAGTTAAAATACCTTGAGGACATATTTGTAATATTAAAATAAAGGTGCTTAGCCCTTGTTTAAAATCCTGTCTCTGTGGAACTAGGTTACCTAATGAGCATGTTTTACTCATCTCATGGGGACAAAGCCTGAGATGTTAAATCTGTGGCAGCAAAACGAAACAATTTTTGAACCAAGTCATCATTTTCAGCATCAATAGAAGGTCATGCCCTTGTCAGCCAGTGTTGGTTCAACATAAGGTTCCAGTCAGAATTGACTGCATTATGCTTAGAGATGTTCTCTGAGAGACCTTCACCCTTTACTATGTTTGGAACTGCTAATATGATGGGTCTTTTGAATAGTTAGAAGAGACTTACTAAGATAGTCCTTACTGCAGTTATTCGGAGTATCTATTCATTAGTTCGCAGTAACTGGTCTGGCAGAAGTTTGTTCAAGCTTATGATACAGCAGTAGATTAAATACTCTTTTCCCATCATTTTTTCTTTCCTTAGTGTTGTGTGTTAAGCCATGATACTTTGACAAGTTCAAAATACAACTCCACTTGTATTACTTCTGTAGTTTCAGTGCTGGCTTGGTTCCTGAGAAATTAAGACCTCTTGGACCTGCAGTTTGGCAGACTAAACTTTTTAAACAAGATTATAAGTGAGGACTGGAAATCTTTTTCTCTTGCTTTACTGCTTGACATACCTAGAGTTTTGCTCAGCTGTACCATACAAGGATATCCGAAATCACATTACATCCACACCCCTTGCAGTTTTAGGAGTATGTTATTGCAAAAAGTTAGCGATATGTTTTATTAGCAGTTGATTGTTCGCGTCAAGAATTGCTCTAGTCTGATCTTTTTACAGTGCATGTATCATATGCTTGAATTTCTCTTCCCATGAGTCAGATGCTGAACAGTGGTTAGTTTTTAATCAATGGAAAACTACCAGAATGTGGAACATACTTTTTGAGCTATGATGCTCAAAAAGAGAAGTTACAACATACATAGATGGAAGTTATAGATAATTATAATTTCTACTGGAAATTTTCCTAGGTACTACAGGCAGGTAAAGGTAGCAGAGCACCCAGATTTATAATTCAAATGTAATGATGATGATTTATCTGAAAACATAAATTAAACCAGCTTGCCATTCAGCTTTTGATTTTCTTAATAAGTGAGATTCTTAATGTTGATATATTTTTTTAATAGGCCATGGTTTTCCACTTTTTTTTTTTTTTAAACAGTAGAAGCTTTTAAAATGGCTTATAGATAATTACCTTATTAAAAAAAAAAAATTTAGGAGGGTCAGTTTAGGATTTGGTGCAATGTTTTAAAACTTAATCAATCTATTAGTGATATTTTTTAGTCTGTAATGTTACCTCACTGATGTCTGTTTAATATTATTTCTGATTGTTGTCACTGTTTACATTTCTTTTTGGTTAGGGGAAATTGTGTGTTTATCTTTTGGGAAAAAAAAACAAAACAAAACAGGGCAAGCAATGGCAATATTTTGCTTCTGACCTCTGGTTCGAATTGCTCAGCAGGTGAAGTCTGAATTGCTAATAAAAATGAAACTTTTGAGGAAAATTCTTGCCTGAGGTTGGATTTGTACTGGTTCAACACATTTCTTATGATTCTACCATCTCCCTCACTGCTGCTTCTGGAACAACATGGCCCCTTTAATGAAATTTTATTTTGTGACAAACTGAATTTCCGTGTACGTGCTCTACTGCTAGTATGTTTCATGATTGTGAAGAGGTTTCTCCTTTGTTCTGCAGTACTTAAAAGCATTTACTTATCAGAGTTGAAGATAAATAAAGCATCCTGTTTACTAATTAGATAAATTTCCATCAAATGTCATCCTAAAGTCACTGAAATTACTGTATTAAGACATAGTGTTGCCTTATAACTCGTAAACTATGAAATTAAATATGAAAACTACCATGGAAGTTGAAGGCACACGTGCAGAATATATGGTTTTTGTAAGGCAGCCAAATGCTGACTGGCTTACAAGAATGGTGGGAAAAAAACCCCAAGCATTCCTTCATAAAAGCAGTCTGCAGACAGCTTTTGTTCATATTTTTTAAGACTCTTAAAAAAATAGATCAGTTTGATATAAAAAGCTATTTTTCTGATTGAGTGCATATACATCTTTTATGGGTCTGAGTGTTAGTCATTTTTTACTGGTATTAATGGGTTCAGGTTGAGCCTTGTGGGTCTCAACCTTGAGCCTCTCTGACTACACTAAAAGCACTCTTCATTGAGGACTGTAAAAAACCCAAACCGAACCAAACCCTAGTTATTTGTGATATTGATTACTTAAGTCACTGCTGTTAGGGGATAGCCTGTGTGTCAGTGTGACTGTCCTACAAATCCAGTCTAGACAGCAGTAGAAGGACCACTAGCCAGTGGTGCTTTGCATTGTAGTGCTATAGCTACACTTGGGCATGTATATATTCACAGAATCATAGAATCATGTAGGTTGGAAAAGAGCTTGATGATCACCTAGTCCAACCATTAACCCAGCATTGACAGCTCCCAACCATACCACACCTCCAAGTGCCACGCCAACCCCACTCCCAAACACCTCCAGGGACGGGGACCCCACCACCGCCCTGGGCAACCCACTCCAACGGCCAACAACCCGCTCTGCAAAGAAACACCCCTAACTCCTCTGTGTCTTGCCCAATGTATAGTGATAATCAAGAATTCTATGGTACTACTATTCAACTATTTTACTTCCTTTTTTAAAAAATTTAGGAATTCTGTGGAGGAATCAGGGATCTAAAGTTTTTTAGATTTTAAGTTCAGAGTAAAATTTATCCTCTTCTCTCTCATAACCCCAATGCTGCTGGCTCTTAGTGTTCTGCATTAGATGAAGGTGTGACTTCCAGCTTGCAGTGTATGTATGGAATTGGATGTATTTCTGGTTTGGAAGTAAAGACAGGTAAAACAGTTGGAAATTTGTGATTTTGGGAGTTAAAATCAACATGAAGAAGAGTTGATGAGGACTCAGTAAAATGTCACCCCAGACTGTGTTTGTGTTCCCTGGGAATTAACACTTTGTATTACTGTTAATTTGATTTGAAAAATTCTCCAGTGTCCCTGTCACTTCAGGTATGCATGTTTTCGGTGGAAAATACTCTTGTATGTATGTAACAAGCGTTAGGTCATTGAAATCAAGCATATGATCCAGAAAAAAAAAATATTTAGGCAAAGAGATAATAAGGAGAAACATCCTGGGTATTTTGCATCTTGTTACTGTATGCTTAAATGATTTTCGGATTTTGTGATCCAGAGATTTCAGAGGAAACTAGCCCACTTACTAGAGCATCCAAACCAGATAAGAAATTTCTACCGTGGACTTTGATTTCAGGAAGCAGGAACTCTAGAGGCTGATGAAAGTCTTGACTTAGCTGTTTTCAACTAGGGATAGCAGTGTAGTTTTGGCAAGTGTTCAGGCTGTGAAGCTGTATACAGAGTTGTGCGGTTAGCCAGGTCAACAACCTATTAGTCACATTGGTTACAGAGTTCCTATTCAGAGTTTGATATGTCTCTTATGTTTTTCAGGGCTATCTGTAACTTTGAGTTGTGCTTTATGAACAAGGAAAGGGGCCTAACAATTCTCCTGAAAGGGTGGTAAGAGTTGTCAAAATTTCCTTATGTATATTTTTATTTCATTTATTAACTACACATGTTCACGTCTATGAAATTTAGAAGGCAAAATTGTTACTAATTTAATCCTTCATGCTATTTACCATTCCAGACAGTCCTACAATTGTAATTCTTTAGCCAACAATAAAGTGGTGAAAGACTTAATTCATTTCATAGTAGTAGTCTTTAGTGGTCTTTTGCTCAAACAGTAGAACTATTGAACTGAGTATGGCTAAAATATGCAAGTGTGTGAATTTGTCTGCTTGGAATAGCAAACCACCATATAAAAACAAATGTCTGTATAATCAAAATGTATCAATCAAATGTAATTAACTGCATATAGTTAACTAATAATAAATCTTTCAAAACTTTATAAATAGACCTTTTAAAAATGTTTTATTCTGCTTGTGTCCTGGTTTTAGACAAGGGGTGAACTGACTTTCCACCTCCTAACTGCCTGCTCTCAGCCACTCTCAGTTTTGTGGTCAGTTGTTCTCTGAGCTCTCTGTGCAGGAATTTGTGGCACATGAAAGTAATACAGGTATAAATTCAGTGGTTATCTACTTGTGTGATGGGATGTCTGGTTTTCTACAGCATTTGACCCTTCTGCTAACTTACTGGTTTTAAGTGAAGAGCCATTGTCAGAACAGTACAGTCACTATAGTCAAAGACCATGCAATTTATTAGTTTGTATGACTTCAGTGATTTGGGAAGTCATTCCTGAGATAACTAACCAGACAGAAGTTTTCTTACACAGGGAAAAACCATCTATGTTGGAATAAAGGAACGTAATTTTTTAAAGTTGATCTTCTAAATGACTAAAAGCAGAAGACAGCTGTACTTGCTAAATGAATAAAATTGACTGAATAATTATAACTTTTGAAAGCCTTTATTTTCTATTTAATTTGTTTTAGCAGTCTCATTCTAACTTTGTTTTAGGGAAAGTAGAATTTGGGGTGAAAGAGGAGAATATAGTTTACACAGTATGAGAAAAACTGGATGTTATTCTTAATATCCTAAACATAATAGAAGAAGTAGGAGATTTCTTAGGAGATTTTTTGCTGTAACAATCATCCTGAGGTGAAATTTGTAGTTTTTAGAGCAAAGAAAAATAATTGTAGGGGTGAAAGGGGGGTGAAGTGACAGGAACTAGAAGGGATTATCTCTTACCAAACAGCCTTACTACTTATTCAAAATTAGGAAAAAAGTAACAGGCAATCAGATAATGTTGTTTGTGGGTACATGAGCAACCTGTTATTATTCTGCAGCATATTTGTGAAGTAAAGGAATGTAGAACTTTGAAAATGTTTCTGCTTCCTCAGTGTTGAAGAAACAGTAGTAATTGTGCTATCATTACCAAAGACATTTTTTACAGAGTTCATGACTAAGACTGATTTGCTTGTTTCAAAAGTGAAGTATGCCCTGTGCTCATTTTAAAGAGTATGTCACCCTTAATCAGGAGTGCCATACATTTTCAGAATGACAGCGCTTTCAGTTTATTGCTTGTCAGCCCTGAAGAATGCTGGTTAGTTCCTTTACAAGTGCAACTCGTTGGCTGAGACTGCTTACTTACAAAACAGTTTTAGGTTTATTTTGATTGGTTATTGGTTTGTGGCTTTTAATGATAAAATGGAATCGCATTTTTTTGCAATAGACGTCTTCGTGGAAAATCTGAAATGTTGGAGCCATTTGGAACTGCTCTTACTCCCACTGAGGTCAGCGGTAGAATTTCTGTGGCTTTCAGTGGGAGTAACGTTATACTGTCTGATTGTGAAGACTTTTCCTCTTATTTCAAAAACTGCTTATAATAGTCTCCTATTGCTAGGGTTACATGAAAATGAAGTAACTACTGTAGTACTTGAGTACAAAAAAAAGATATTTCTTAAGTAGGAGAAAGAAGTTTTAACCATTTCTGTTATGCCAGCATGTTGATTTTAAAAAATATATCTACAGCTCTGAAAATCATTGCACCATAAAAATTGGTTATCTATAATTAATCTCCTTGTATCACCCAGTGTGTTTTATTATATTACATGCAGAAGTAGGTCTAAACAGAAAGAGTGCCTTCTCACGAGGCAAGAAGGAGAATTGCAGGATGAATACTTACTGGAGTAAAAGTAGACATGTCCTAAATTCTACAATCACAGATATTACTGGTCATCTAAACAGGGAATTTAGATTAGTGAGAAAGCATGCCCTTTCATTAATAGATGTAAAGTTTTCAAAACTGTGTATTAGTTCTCAACTCTAAAAAAAAGTTTAATATTATTAGTGGCATTTTCATGGATGTCATTTAAGAAAAGATTAACAATTTTTTTCAAAGGTGAACATTTCAAAAAGATATACTGTATAAAAAGATATACTGAGATACTGTATTTTCTATGCACTAACTTCCATTAAGAATTTTTTTTTTCCCTCTAGCAAGATGCTACTACAAGTGATTTGGCATAAAAGCTTCTAGCCAGTGGTTGCCCAGAAATTTGTTGTGAAATGTTAACTGCCTTTTTAGAAATTAATACTTAATACTAAGTAGATATTTCCAAAACTGTGGTTGTGCGATTTAAATGGTCAGTTTTGATTGTAATGTGCAAAGTGGAGTTGACTTGATTTGAGACATCTTCTGGGCTGCCAGATTTCAGACCTGAGCCATCCAGAACATGTGGTTTTTATCTGTTACCATTTTTTTTCCCCTAATTCATTGCTCATAGATTAATATCTGCTTATTTTGGGTTTCTACCATCTTTTCTGGAACAATCAAGAGCAATGAATTAATCTTGTTTAATTGATGGATTGCTCTAGATTAATCAAACTCCTACTTAATATGCTTGATATTTCTTCTGAGTAAGCTATTTAAAATTTTTTTTTTTTTGTATAGTTAAGTTTATTATAAAATTAAGTCTTGGGCATGTTCAGATTGTTTGTCACACTCAGGAAGTGCAAAATATAACCCAAATACTCAAATGACCCAAAGTTAACATTTTGGTTTATAAACATTTGCAGCATAAACAAGTCCGAGCTAAGCAATTTTAGAAGGAATTTCCATTACGTGTAGCCTATATTATATGTAGATGTGGCTAGTTGTTTTTCATATGTAGCTCTTGGAAATTATTTCTGTCTGGTTTATCTGACACCAAGTTTATTTCTCTTGAATTGGAACTTTTAATATTGTGTCTGTGTGACATGGTTTACAAACTAAGTCTGATGGCTTACTCTGTGTTGTATGTCTGAGAATTATGTCTACATGATTATTTTCAGTTAATGATCATACAAGCCTTCCAGAATTGCTGATGAATCTTAATTTTGCCTTCATTATTATCCACACTATTCTAGTGCCTTTTGGTGGTATTGAATGGATTTAAAAAGAAATGTTGAGTTCTTATATACAGTGCACATGGATTTAATTTCCTGTATTTCTGATAGTCTCATTTGGGATCACTTTATACTTCATAATTAAAAATGATTACTTGTTTGAAAGTGTGGTGAGTTTGCCTTCGTGCTGCTTATTGACCTGGCATAGCTTGTTGATGATCATGTGGTCCAGGCAGCTGAAGAGCTGAACTCCTTCTGTTAACCTGTACAAGGCCTGGGTTGCAAGCCACTATGATGATGGAAGCTGCTGCCCTACCTGCCTGGGTCTCCTCTGAGCAATGGGGACAGCAACAAGAGCACTCCTGGTACTCTGCAGCAGCGGTGCAGCAGGCTGTGGCTATTGTCTTTCCTCCCATTCACTGTTTGTGTAGCTACCCATGCACTAACAGAAGATGGGTTGTATTACTACAAATAATATTTTATGGTTAATCAAGTAGGGTTTAATAAATTACAGTTAACTTTAGGGAGCATCTAAACTACTGGAATGCTGATAATCAAACCAGGCAGGCTATTTTTAGAAGGGTGTAGTTAATTGATTACTTGACATGGCACATATAACCTGCCTATTAGCAAAACGTCTTGCAAAAGTACTCACGTGTCTGAAGTAGAATTTAATTGGATAAGGTTGGCCTTAAAAGTAGACTTCCAGGTAACTGAAATCTGTGTGGTACGTTATGTGCCTTCTTGCTTTCTACTTCATGGCTCAGAGAAAACTTGCTTCATCTAAAATGCATTACTATTCAGAATTTGTATGCTTTTCTGAACCCAGAAGACTGATAATCTGTAGACAGTATATGCATTCGGAAACATGCTACTGTACACCCATCAAAAGGAGTCTACAACTTTGCACACAGTAGTATTGAAAACAAACATGTAACATCTGATCCTTAAGGTCTAACTGTGACTGTTTCCATTCTGGTTAAACATACAATGTTAACTCCTCTGTGATATCTTTGCTGGCATATTCCCTGAAGCCATACTGTATTTCCCCATGTGGATCCAATTGGGAGATTAAAAGTTTAGGATTTAATCTGTACTTCTATAGCAAGAGTCATAATAGGCCTTCTTAGTATTCATTCAGTGTTCTTGGAGACATCTCTGGCAATACTGGAGTAATATTGGCATGGTCTATTAAAACCACAGTGAATAAAATTTTAAGACCCAGTTTCTTGATTTACATTTCTTACAGCAACATCTAATAGAATCGGCAAGGCATAAATGTTAGGCAAATTTCTCCTTTTATTTAGATCCATTAAAGCCCCTTCCAAGCAGATAAAGGTAACTTAGATTATGGAAAGAATTAACCAATAAATATAAAGCATTATCTTAGAAATACCTTACAATACCTGCTCCTTAATATGCCCCCCTCCCAGGAACATATCCTCTCCAATTAACTTGAAATTGCAGAATGGATGCAGATGCAATTGAAATGCAGCCCTTTTCAACTGCTGCACCATGCTATGGTGACTGTTTTTTATTGTTTCTTCCTTCAGGTGTTAAAAAATATACTTGATAAAAAAGGATAGGCAATTTTATTTGGCTTTTGCTAATTCCTTGATTTCTTGTAATTCCAGTATTATTCTTCTATTGTTAACTTCAATATTATGCTTTAGAAA